CAGCCAGGCAGCCATATACTTAGTGTTAGTAGAAATAGATGTTTCACACGACGGGTGTGTTCCCGCCGATTGTGCTGCATATGGGTTATAGCACTAGGGTGGTATTAGTTTCATCCCTGTATCCCAGGCATAGGCCGGGTTGGGTTAGCATATGCGACTGCTAGGGGTGACAGGCACATGCAGCACATTCGGCCAGCAGCTTGATTCTTTGGCGAGTGGAAATGTTGTCTTTCGTGGTTCCCCTCCCCGCTATCGGGTTCCTTCGCTTACCTTCCCCCCCTAAGGCTTCAGGGCACCTGAACCCAACCCCACGGTAGGAGTGCCAATCAAGGGCCCTGCGAGAAGCCTCCCTGAAAGCCGAAGCCCCCTCCCCTGTCTCCGCTCGCCCTGCTTTTCCCTTCCTTGGTACTGTTGCTGTTGGCTTCTGTGGTTTGGGATCTGCTGAAGCGTCTGGGAGCACATCATTGCAGCGGAGTTCGCTGCGTGCAGTATGGCCACAGCCACTGCCATCTGACCCTCAACCTGCCGCCGAAAGCCTGCACCATGGACGACGCCATGTCTGACCGCCAAGAAGCGGAAAGGACCAATCCCGCCCTGATGAAGGACTCATGGATCAGTTTCGGACATCACGCCTACGCCCTCGTGTCCCGCCTTCTAGCTCAGTGCGGTGAAGCGGATGAGATGCTCTCTTCCAGAGAGCGTCTCATGTCGGCAGCAACATGCTATTTCTTCTTGCTCATGAATGACATGCTGACGAAGCAAGAGCACGGCGAGCATGCAGAGAAGTACAGACTGCCCACACCCACTTTGCGAAACACTTTGCATGGCCTCTACTTGTCCATTGTGTGCAACCTGTTCCCGGGCTTGCCCGGGAGAGACTCATTGTCTCTCCGCAGCTTTCAAGAAAAGGCATGCGAGCACCATTTCAGTCGGGCCAAGAGCCCATTCAGGGGGACCCCCAGCTTGGCTCAGGGCGTGTGGGGAGGGCACAAGGCACATCTTCAACAGGTGCGAGCCAAGTGGAAGGCATCAGATCCGAAGTGTGATCCTGTCCCGCTTTCGGAGGCCAAGACAATCATCGAGGACGGCCTGCAAGACGCAGCTTGGACACTTGCCTTTATGTCCGTCGGGCGGACACCGAAAAGCATCGTAGATGATTTCCGGGCATGGTGGCCAAGCACTGGCCGAAGCTTGGTCACACAGAGTCGGGGGCAGGCTGCGGGGGATGCGGAGGAGGATGATGATGACTTCGCCATACAAGTGGAGGATGCAGAGCTCCCGCCGGATGAGGCTGTGGCCCTGCTCGGAGCCTTGGAGGATCATGTGCTTAACAAGCAAGAGATCACCCAGCTTCTAGAGGCACCGCCCTCGCCGAAGCTCGCCGAAGAGCAGCCCTCCCTGGAGACAGCCGAGCAGACGGAGCAGCCACTCGTGGAGGCGAACTTGGCTACTGCCTCTTCAAGTGCACGTGTGACCCGGACGAGGACATGGCATGACCTCCTGCAGCACCTGAAGACAGCTGAGAGCTTCGACATGACAACTGACCATGCCATGCTGGTGGGTGCATGCTTGACTCGGCAGCTTCTTCTCATGCCGCGCATACGGGCCTTGGCAGCTGCGACCCATCAGCACCGTGGAATCTTGTCCAGAGCAGCCCTGGCAGGCAATGACGGCTCGGAAGCCTTCTGCTCGGACTGCCACAAGATGGTGCACGAGTTGGCACTCGCGAGGTCGGCCAGCATGTCGGACGGCAAACGGATGAGTCGAGCTTGCGGCTGGCGAGCTGTCTGTGAGCGGATCCAAGTGCTAGCACAGAACACGGAGGGCAACCAAGCCTACGTGCACACTGCCACTCATGTTCGTCCACTCCTAGATGTGGAACAGCCCCAAGTGATCCTGTACCGGCTGCCTGGGAGACAGCTCTGCCTCGGAGTGGTCTCCACGATCTTCAGGGGCGCCCTGATGACCACCTCGGGCAAGTCCAACAACAGGCGGCTCCGGACGACCAAGCCGTCGACGCAGCCGCTCACGATGGCCAGCTGCTCGGTGGTCCGAGTATGGCGAGCAACCGAAGCGGGCAACACCGGCCGGCAGTTCGCAGTGCATGCATGCTCAACCGTCGACATCATCGACCCCATCGGCTCCATCCTCGGACAGATCAGGCCAGCATCCGTGCTCTGCACCGGCACACTCGATCAGGCCATCTTGGCACTGCGGTTCCATCAGGACCAGGTTGAGAGCATCAACCGAGTGGTGGCGAGCGAGGAGGCATAGCAAGAGGCAGAGGCTGTAGAGCCGCAAAGTGTGCCAGAGCCCGAGCCGCATCCAGTGCTCGGTCACCGCTCTTTCGGTCACAATGCGGCGGGCACAGCCAACCTGTTGAAGTACATGGAACGGTTGCCCAAGCTGTACAGTGACCATGGCCTGCAGATCCTCGATGACAAGAACAACTTCATCGGTGTCGGCGGCAGTGTGCTGGCCCCTTGGAAGGAGCTCGTGCAACAAACGCCAGACTACTTTGAGGTGACGTGCAGCAGCATAAAAAAGGACGATTACGGCAAACAGGTCGTTCGGAAGATGCTCGATGCTCATCCTACCAAAGGAGCGGAAGGCCTACACATCCTGCAGAAGTGGATGGAAAATGTCCGCAAACTGGCACAACCTGTGCCGAGAGCTCAGCTGCGAGAGACATGACCCTGAAGCCCAAGCCCTTGCACCTCGACCGCCCCTAACCCATGCCAGGATCCAGATGTGATGCTGCTCGCATGGCTGGGCACTTGGGCCTGACAACTGGGACGTTTTGCAATCTGACAGTAACCCGAGGCCTCTTTTGGAGACACCTTCAGGGTCGATCCGCGAATCGCCGTGGCCTCGAGGATCGCACTGCCTTTTTTCTGCAAAATCTTACTGCATTGGAATCCTCCCAGGCGCTCTCTTGCAGCCGCGCTGGCAAAAAGCCACGGAGCTGCCGAAGCTCGCTGTCGCGAAAGGTCGCGCAAAAAAAGCTGACCGAGATTCGCGGAGATGGTTTTTTGGTGTCTTCTGCTTGCTGCACTCTCTGCATGCATGTATACATACACGACATGGGGAGGTCAAAAATGGAAACTTCCATTTTTCACCCCCCCCACACCCGAATAGGTAGGGGATCATCGAAAATGAACTGCGGGCCGAGACCCTGGACGATCTTCCTCCAACTTTTCATGATACCTTCCGCATGCACAACCTTCTCGGCCAGGTTCTTCGAGAAAACCCCTTTCAAATCCCCTATCGTCAAAACTTCCTTGCAACAGTTCAGCTTCACCTTAGAGACATGGCCTATACATGAGGCTTGCGATTCATCTTTTCAGACCATATGTGCATCTCCATGCAATATCATGAACGAGTGCTGCTTATAGTGCATGTCGAAAACGGACACATTGTGTGGTGGTTCTGGACGCTTGGGACAACACTTCCCACATCTCGGGTCCGAAGACCCTCGTGGAGGGCGGGTGCCGCCGGACGAAGGACTATGTTCCTTACTCGCGCTGGCCGTCCCGTCCCCGGTGCCGATGCGCGGGAGGGAGTCGCGCTTGTCGCCGCGCGCCGTCGCAAAGTCGCGCGCTACCCGGATCTGACCCGCGGAGGGCCGCAACGACTAGTAGTCCTCGCTGCAGAAGTCGGGGGCCGCTGGCGCGAAAAGTGCCAGCAGTTCCTCCGTACCCTACTCCGGCTCCGTGTCCAACGCGCCCCACCACCCTTGCGCGCCGCTGCAGCCCAGGGCTGGGCGCGCCGCTGGTGGAGTCGGTTGCCCTGCAGCGAGCCGTCGCCAGCTCCGTGCTTGGAGTCTGGACCATGCCGCCGCTGCCTGGTGCGCCAGACGCGCTCCCGTTGGGTGACGTGTTGGACCTCGCGGTTGCGAGCGCCCCGAGCCGGCTGCCGCTGCGCTAGTACCCCGTAGGCGCCTTTAGTTCGCAGCTTGCACTGGGACCGCGGAAGACGCTCGAAAAGATTCGTGCCACAAAAAAATATGTCTCGTCCAGGAGCCATGGGTTCTGACCACCCGCAGCTCTGAGTGCAAATGCATAGAGATGGGGCAATTCTTTCTCATGCTGTGTCTTTCCGGCTTGAACACGTTTCTTGATGACGCCGTAATCAACCGTGTTGTTCACACAACCCATAAAGCATGCAGCCGTCGAGTGAGTTGGAGTTCGTGCTCTCCTTGATTCGGCGAAACATTTCCCATTCTCTTCACCAGGGTGCACTGGATGGGTGAGGCCTGTGCAGCCTCTGCACTCATGATATTCCACGACAGTCCCTGCATGACTGCCTGCCCGATGGAAGCTTGGGTCCGATCTCTTCAATAAGTGAGTTTTCCGTTGAGGCGCACACTGAGCTTCGGGTCGTCGTGCGCCAGTTCTTGCTGCAGACCCCGGGGAACACACTTTGTATGTGAACCGCCCATCCGAGCCAGGTGCCAACCTCAACGCCAAATCGGCCTCCGACCTCGACACAAACGACCACCAAGCGGCAGCGGCGGGCGCCCACTGTCCTCGGCTTCGCGGGGACAGCAGCTGTGTAGGTGAAACTTGCAGTCGCAAAAAGGTGCACTGACAAAAAAGAACGGCTGTCAAAGGCACGATTCCTCGCAGTCAGGGTTTTTTCTCACCATTCCGCTTACCCCCTCCAGCCCCATACGTTTTGACACAAGCAAGGGCAGACGTCGCCTCCGAATTGCCGCTGTGCCCCACCACCTGCATGCGTGCCACCACTCGACTTCCACTGCAAGTGTAGTTACGCCATGATTTTTGTTCATGGTCGACGGTCATTCGGGCTATGTCTGCCGAGTCCACAATGTGTGCAGTGGGGGTGGTTGAGGTCAGCCGTGTTTCGTTAAGACGATGTCCATGAAATCAGATTCGCCGAGGAAAGACGCAGCCTTAGATGCCCGCGTGACCTTTTGAAATTCCCAGCGTATCTCATAGCAGCCGCAGCATGTTGCGGCAAGTCGCATAGTCTCTGACATGGCATGCTGCTGCCCGCCGTGGTGCACTCCTGCTATTGGCTACTGCCGCGGGACCTTTGAAACCTGCAGCAATCCATGCTGCCACCTGTACAGGCCGGGTCGAATCACGTTGAAGCCAACAGGATCCAACAGGCAAAGGGCAGTCGGTGATTATGGGCACATACGTAGCTACGCGGTGGCAAGAAGAATACACATGACCACACCACAGGTGGCTAAGATGTGAGCCGCCGTTTGTCGACGAGTTGGATGACGACAACGAACTGGGTTCGCGCGATGCGCTGCTGCAAGCATTGGGCGTTTGTGCGCGACTTTGCTACGGAGCTGGGTTCGTCGACCGTGAGGACTGTGTGTGCAGGTGTTTTTGGCCGTGGTTGTTGGGTTCCGGGGATGAACTTGACAAGGTTCGGGGTTGTTCGGAGTCTACCGATCGAGAGGACTGGGGCAAAGCTGACCCGCCGCTCGACGGAGAAGGTTGGCAGGTGGTCGAGCAGATTGTCGAGTCCATGAACTCGGACAACCATGTGCAGGCTGCGTGCTACATTCCCGAGACCAAGCAGACATGTGGCTGCGGCATGGGCATCGTCGCGATTCGCGGGACCGTTTCCTTTCGAGGGTTGCTGCAAGACCTGGCTGTGGGCACTCCTTTCATGCGGAGGGCCATCCGGCATGCGATAAAGGAGGCGTGTAGCTTCTACCTGAAGTGCAAAGCCAAGCATCCAACGCTTGAGCTTTACATCACTGGACATTCGCTTGGCGGCTTCATTGCGCAGGACAGGGTTTGGTTCAACAAGAAGTGTGCTGTGATGCATCCCCAATTGCGACACTGTGCATGGCCACAGGCCGCCGCCACCTATGTCGATGCTGAAGGCACGGTGCGAGATGTAAGAGCAATCCGTTATCGTAAATTTGTCAACTTCAACCCGGAATATCCAATATCTTTTGGGCTTATACCTGCCAGAGAAGCCTCCCTTAGATTACAGAGTGAGTCCAAACCCTGAAACCTTGATCCTGCGTCGTGTGAATCGCACAAACACTTCGTACTGCAGCACACCAGGCATCCAACCAACAGAGCAGAAGCAAACCAAGAGCGTTTGACAGGTCAACTTTTCAGTGGCACATCGCACAAAAGATCGTGCAGGACACCATTGACAAACACAGTGATAAAAGCGGGGGTAGGCAACCCTACCAAACTTGAAACCAATCCTATGCCAGCTATCCCAGGAAGCCCCATATTTCTAGAGTCCCGAAGCCCCGAACGCAGAAGTGTACCAAAAAAGATGGCAGGTGCTGTTTTCAACTGTCCGGGGCCAGTGGCCGTCACACCGTGGAAGGTTTTAGTCGGCCCTTATCGGCCCAATTTCGAGGTTGGCATTGGGTTGATTTAAGGTTGAAGGCATTTTTTTGGGGTATTGGTTACGTTGCGAACGAGCACTGGGTTCTTCTGACCTAATGGTATCGAGTGTATGCATTATTCCCGACTTGGTCAGCGTATTTTAGCATTGCGTTGCCAGATGTACGTTTGAGGTTGAGGAATTGTGCAGCGCTTTATGTTCAAATTTTAAATCGCTCAAGAAGCAAAGTCGGGGTCGAGCGTGTCAACAGCATACCAGCATCATGTATTGTGATGCCAACTCGGTCATCCTGTAGAAACTTACGCTGGCAAAATGTGGTACTTAGACTGGAAGCTTGGTTCCAGCTTCTGGAGCTGGGCTGTTCTGAACAGTGCTTCCTTTGACAATTCCTGTTTCATGGAACTTGAAGGAAGCTGAATATCGGATGCACCACATACTTCATGGGTTACCATCCTGAATTAGAAGGAGCAAGTGCTAGAGTTAAAAAACCGATGCACCTGCGGTGCAGCGGAGCACGATGACGCGAAGTGCCGTATTGCTAGTCGTGCTAACAGCCGGCGTCATGTCTTTGAGCACAGTGCTGTGAATCCAACGTGTCAAGAAGTTTACGTGAAGGTGCACTTGACGCGTGATGATCCGTTAGCATTCTCCTTCTTCCCGAAGCCGGAGAATTTCCATCATATCGCTTGGCCACAGTGGCATCCTGGTTCCAATCACAGAGTTTGCGAGCCGTACATGAAGGAGGTGCGGATCATGAGAGGAGCCCGGCATTTTGCTTGCCGTTCTTTGCCTTTCCTCGCCTAAGGGCGTTTCACGAATGTGTTGTTTTTGTAATTTGAGAGCTTGCTGCGTACTACCGGTACTACCGGCTACATACCACCTACTACCTATTACTTTTTTTGCTTCCTACTCGTGCTCCTGCTCGTGCTCAGTACCTTCATCTCCTCCTCCTACTACACCTGCCCCTACTCGTGCCCCTGCTGTGATTGCTCCTGCTCCTGTTCCTCCTGCTGCTCCTTCTCCTTCTCCTGCCGCTGCCACTGCGCGCTGCGGCTGCGACTGCGATTGCCTTCGACTGCTGCTGCCGCTGCTGTTGCTGCCGCTGCTGCTTCTGCTGCTGCTGCTACTGCTGCCGCTGCTGCTGCCGCTCCTGCTATTGCCGCTGCTGCTACTGCTGCTAGTGCTAGTGCTAGTGCCAGTGCCAGTGCTCCTGCTGCTGCTACTGCTGCTGCTGCTGCTGCTACTGCTGCTAATGCTGCTGCTAGTCCTCCTGCTGCTACTGCGACTACGACTGCGACTGCGACCGTTACTGCTGCTGTTATTGCTACTGCTGCCTGCTGCTACTGCCCCCACTGCTACCTCTACTACATACTCCTCCTCCTTATGTTGCTGCTACTCCTACTACTACTACTACTACGACGACGATTGCTACTATTACTAGTACTAGTACTACTAGTACCTACTACTCCTCCTCCTGCTGCTGCCGCTGCTGCTGCTGCTGCTGCTACTACTACTACTACTACTACTACTACTTATTACTAGTACTAGTACTATTGCTACTGCTGCTACAGCTGCGGCTTGCACTGGTACTACTACTCC